AAACAGGCTAATGAGAGTGGTTGAGGGGTGGTGGGCTGAAGAGCAGAGATTACTTTTATACAAAAGAGAATAAAACAAAAGAATGGCCATCATGATCTGGAAGTGGTCCTGAGTCCTTGATTTACAATCTGTGAGGGCTCAGGGAAGAGGCCAGAACTGATCCTGGGCAGATAGAGATCCAAGTCAATTCTTGCAGCATCTGACTAGACTGGTGCCCGTCAGACCCACACTGGCCCCTTTGTTCCTCACTCCTGTACAAATGTAATCCTTGGTTCCTCAGGCCACTCCAGTGTTAGGAACACTCTGCTCTCATTTTTACTCTGATATCTGATCTGATGTTCCTTGGAATCCAAGTCCTTTACCCTGACCTTTCCTCCCCCTTTTTGGGACTCCCTGGGGGCTCACCTGCCTCAGCCACAGGTGGTGTTGATTCACGTCTTCTCTGGTCCTGACATTGCCTGTGGGCCCAGCAGCTCTGGGGCCCCTCTTCCCCCTGCCACCATGCATTCCATGACCAGGGCCTCCTCTTGCTGTAACTTTTCCTCTCCCAATGCTACACTGCTATGGCAATGGCTCTAGGCTTTGCAGCCACTCTCCTTGGGGCTGTCACGCTATATACAGTGATTAAAGCACTTTCAGCCAACCTTGAACAGTATAATCTCTGAAACAAGGCCCCCAAAGTGTGGCCTTGGTGTTATCTCTATCACCCCTTGGGAAACTTGGCATAAGTTCCCGTGGAACCAGCCCAGAGGGTCTTGAAGGACACCACCCTGAAGCACCCTCCAAGTACCTGGAGGTGGGTCATCAGAGGCAGGTTTTGCTTCCCCCTTTGTAACTCAACGACCTTCCCTGTGATTTCCACTCTGAGATTTCTTTCCACCCTGAGAATGCCTAGAAGTTTTTCCACACAAATAAAAACTCTGATATCCCAGAGTTCCTAAAGTGACACCAACATGAATCATATGAGTTGTAGGGGAAAAAGAAATTTTCTCTACCTTCTAGGTTCTTCTGGATGCTTTAAGAATTAAATTGACATGAGACAGAATAACAGGAGAAAACCAAACAAATCTGATAACATATATACATGGGAGACATCCAGGAAAACTGAGTAACTCACCAAAATGGCTGAAGCCACCACCTTAAATACCACCTTCAGCTAAAGACAAAGGAGTACATTGGGGGTAGTGGTTTGGGATTCAAAGGGGGGGAAGGCAATTCACTTGGAGATGGAAAAGCAAACATTTGGTAAATAAATGTTTGTCATGCCTTGTAAAGACAATGAGAGGTGGAGAGGACTTTGATCAAATGGGCCTTGCTAGATCCCTCCCTGTCTACCACCCCTAGTTCATATTATACTATAGTTATCTATGGTGATAGCTCTCTCCTGGAACAGGCTTTCTATCTTAAATTCTTTTAGGCAGTTAGGGGGAGGGTCAAACTTTCTTCCTGAGAGGAAGGAACTTCCTGAGAAGTTTCTTTTGTTCTTAAAAATAATCAAGCCAAAGAGACACATTTTGGTGTAGTAAATTCTGCTCCCCTACAGAGTCATGTGAAACCATCAAAGGAAGACAACTTGTTATCTAGCCTAACTGCGTTACATCAAATGGCAATAATGAAGAAAGCAAATTCTGCCTTGAAATGCCTACCAGCCCCAATCAGTGTCCTTTCCCCTCCCCTTGTGAGGGAAAACTATTTGAACTTCAGATCATTAGCAACAGGTACCACTGAATGTCCTTGCTCTGAGACTTTAGTCTCCTTATCGCTGGTATGCTAGTTGTACCTCACCATTTTTTTACCATCAGACAAAAGGCCTGAACCAATTGAACAAGCTCAAGTTTTGGTCAGGGTACAAGAGACTTTTATCCTTTCCTCTCCTTTCTCTTCCTCTTGGGCAGTTGGGATAGAGGAGAAAAGAAGAAAAAATACTGGAGTGGAGATCAAATAAAATGGAAATACAAGAAAACCATTAGATGACTTGGACCCTCTCTTTAATTTCTGGTGGCTTTAAGTCTGATGTGGATCAAAGTGAAATACATAAAACATATAGTGCTAAGTCTCCACCCAAACTTAGGGAAAGATTTGAACAATGGTTATCCTTCTCTTCAATTATAAGCCTTATATTGGATCTCTAATAAAAGTAGTGGGCTCAGCACTCTACTAAGCTTTATATATGCTATGAAAAAAATTGCATCATAACTTTATTTTCATCCTACAAAATTCTTTTAAATTCAATATAACAAGTAATTTATGTGAACCAACTCTTTTGCTCTGCACCATGAAATTGAAAATGGAGAATGTCTATCTTTAGAGGCTACCAGAAGACATGATTCTGAGCCTTCCTCTGTAAAAATTTACTGCTTGATTTTTCACAAGTTATTTCATTTCCTAGGCCTCATTCTCTTCAAATGCAAAATGAAGAGATTAATACCTTCTCTGTCTACTTCACAGGGAAGTAGAAAGGAAACAGTAGATAGAAAAGGAAATAGGAGATAGAAATGAGATAAAATAGTGTTTAGTATATATAAAGATGCTTTCAGATGACATAATTCACACTGTTCCGGGCAAGTAATTCTGAGTGAGTCTGAGCCATTTCTCTTGGATTAGACACAAGCACTGTTGAGTTGAGTTTCTATGCTAGAAATCTGCAGAAGAGCATTTTTATGAGTGTGTATTGTATAGGATATGGTGATTCATTGAGATATTAGGAGTTGAAACCTGGTGGAAAATTCTCATCCAACAAGGCAGAGAGATGATAGACAGGGGAATGTTAAATTCAAGTAATGAATATTTATAAACAGCACCTCAGTGTCACATACTATCCTAATGCCTGGGGATACAAAGTGTGTTGGGGGCCCCAGGTTCAGTGATTCACTAGGAAGACTCATAGGACATAGCATATAGTTGAGGCTTTTATTTATTACAGCAAAAACATGGAAAGCAAAATTAATCAAGGGAAAATCTCATGGGGCAAAATCTAGAGGAAACCAGGTATAAGCTTCCAAGAGTCCTCTCCCAGTGGAATTATGGCAGGATGCATTTAATTCCTCTAGCAATGGGTTGTGACAACATGTGTGAAATGTCGTCTACCAGGGAAGCTCATTAGAGACTCAGTGCCCAGGTTTTTTGTTGGGGCTGGTCATATAGACACCCTCTGCCTAACCCGTACCAAAGTTCTAGGCTCTCAGAGGGAAAGCAGATGTTCAGCATAAACCACGTTGTTTGTACAAACAGTTTAGACATAGTGAGCCATTCTTATCAGGGAATGGTGGGAACTTTCCTGAAATCCAAGTTCCCAGACTCCAGCCAAAGCCCAACTCTGAAAGCAGGACTTTTGAGGGATAACATTCTCAGTCCCGCCACGTTAACTCTCTTATGCACACAGAGGTATAAATTAGTGATTGAATACAGTTGGATAAATACAATGATTAATTCATTCGACTAAAGTTACTGAGCCTTCAAAGAGTTGAGTAGGAATAAGATAAATTAGACATGGTTGCTGTACTTTGTCAAACTCAACTCAGCACCTCAATAGCTCCCCGCCCACCCACTGACAAGGTGCATTGCCTATAAAAAGCTCCATGGCTGTGCTCCAAATTCCTCCCCCTAGCCTCCATCCAGATCCCACTGCACATCCCAGGGGCTGTTTTCTGTCTGTCATAAAGCTTCTTTCTGCTTAGCCCCTTAGGTAGGTGTTTGGGGTTACTTCTCTGTTTGACTTGACTAGATTCTAGCGTGGCCTTAGATGCCCTCAGGCCAGTTCTGCCCCACCCTTACTCCCATCAAGATTCCCAGCACCCCACTTTCCATTTGGCCTCCTTGGCCCCTTCGTCGATTAGGAGAGCTGCCCCATTCATGTTTGAAGCCCCACTTCCTGGGGCTTATCTCCATCTCTCAGTCAATGACTTAAATCATTCAGTTTCTACTCACAGCCTTTAACAAATATTTACCCCACTGCCAACCGCTAGGGAGATGCCTAGAGTTGTGAACTACAGATTTTTCAGCCTTTCCTTCTGGAATCCTCTCATGCAGGAGCTCTACATGCTGTGACTGACTGCAACCAGCGTCTTCAGCATCTCTGCAGCTAATGTTCCCATTGCCCTTGCCCCAGCTGGAGGGATTAACCCCCAAACCCTGCCCTCTCCTCTTTCAGGGGTGGTTGTATCCGAGGTGCCAACCTCCAGGTTTACGGGGTTCAGATTGGGAATGGGAACTAATGGAGGTAATATATGTTGTTTTCTTGGTCTCAAAATTAGCAACATGTCCAAGGACCCAGCAGAGGAGTTGAAAAAAGTCAGCTTCCTTCCCCACAGCAACCACAGCCCAGGCAAATCAAATATCCAGAGGTTCCTGGGGACTCCCGGATATTAGTATCAGTTCAGCCCCAATTTTCCACCCTGATGGATCTCCTCCCAAAAAGGCACAGAGGTATGAAATAACCCTCCAGCATTCAGGAAATGCTCGTAGTGACTCAAATGATGAGGAAAAAGCCACCTAGAAATGAAGCTGGTGAGACAATTAGGAGCCAGGTCCTGGAAAGCTGTGAGTGTCATGATATAGGCCCTTGAAAGACAAGAGGCATGATCAGACTTGCATTTTAGAAAGATCCCAGGCAGCTGCAGGGAAAAAAGATGGAGAGTGAATCTGGAGGCTAAAAGACAAAGATAAGAAATTTTTGTAATATTCTTCGAAGAGTTGGTGGGGCCTCAACTAGACCTGAGGCAGTGGGCATAGAGATGAGGGGACAGATATGAGGCATACTTAGAAAACCAAATAATCAGGACTTGGGGATGGGGGTGGGAGAATGGAGGAGTCCAGCATGACTCCCTGCTTTCTGGCTGGGGTATCAGCATCTTTGGCAGTCTATCCATTGAGATAAAGAATACAGGGGGTTAATGTTGAATCCGAATAGCCTCATGCTGTAGGCCCCCTTCACTCTCTCCTCTATATCTGAGGTATTCTTACTGGGTTCTGTTTGTTTTGGTTTGGTTTTTCCTTTGAAGGTCCAGAAATGCCCTTCGTGTGTTTGACAGACTTTCAAGCCCGTGCACGGGAGCGTCTCTCGAAGTTGACATGGGATTATATTGAAGGAGGAGCTGGTGAAGGCTTCACGCAGGAAGACAACATCACAGCATTTAAAAAGTTTGTTTTTTGTTCTGTATCCTTTCTATTGTTAAGCTAAGGTGCACTGGTTGAGAGCTCCTCAGAAGGTAGTAGTTCTGGTTTCTGCCTCCAAAGAAGACAGAATACTCAAGTTATAATAATGGTTTTTGTTGTTATTTTGGTTTTCGGGTTTTTTTTTGAGGGGTGGACAGGTGGCTGGGGAGAGGTTGCATAGAGAGAGAACTTATCTCAGTGCACAAGTGAATCACTCCCCATCTGCATCCCAGCAACTTTGCCACCTGACAAGATAGGACAAGAGTCCCAGGTTGCTGGTCACGTGGGCGGGGGAGGAGAAGCCAGCTGTATAAGCCTAAATCTCCTCAGTTCCTAAACTTCTGGTTTGGAGGACAGAATGTACAACAGGAAAGAGGACTCAGGGTTGGAGGAAATATGGAGACCCTAGGAGTCTTAGGGATGAAAGAAGAGTGATTCAAAGGTTGGACTGGAACAGCAAGGGATAGAGCATGGATCAGTCAACAATAGCCCACAGGCCAAGTCAGGCCTCCCACCTATTTCTGTATCGTCCACTAGCTAAGGATGGTTTTTCATTTTTAAATGGTTGAAAAAATCAAAGGAATGATAATTTGTCACATGTAAAAATTATATGAAGTTCATATTTTGATGTCCATAAACAAAGTTTTGTTGGAACACAGCCATGCTCAGTCATTTACATATTGTCTATGACTGCTTTTACATTACAACAGCAGAGCAGAATAATTGTGACAAAGACTACATGGTCCATAAAGCCTGAAATATTTACTGTCTGGTCCTTTACAGAAAAAGTTTACTGACCGCTATAATAGAGAGGTCCGAAGAAAACTGAAAAATGGGATACAAAGTGAACACTATATTCTAAATTTTCATACTTAATTAGCACTATAATAAGCACTTTAATTGCTTTATCTCATTTTGTCTTCACAAGACTATTGGGAAATTTGGATCATTGCTCCAATTTCACAGATGAAGTAACTGAGGCTATCTAATTCAAGTTTGCACACTCAGTATTTCCAGAAAAATCTTTCTAAGTTTGTGTACATAAATAATAATATTTTATGAAAAACAAGCATTTTTGGACCCTGAGGTTAAGCATCTATTTGTCTTAAAAGTGTGTTTTATATATTTATTATTTGTGAATTTTCCTACCTTCTTCTTAAGCAGTATTTAAGTCAAATCTTCAAACGAATTAGCCACTAGCAAAAAAACCAATAACAATGCCATGTCATTCTCTGGGATTTGTCCTCTTTCAGTGACCTTTTCTTACTTTGTGGAGACTTGATTCTAACCTGAGAGGGAAATAGCCTGGAATTCCTTCCTGCTTATTCTTTTCCTTTCTAGTCCTTGTTAAAATGAATCATTCAAACCATCCAAGTGCTGAGAGTCTGGTCAGGGAGGCACAGCTCAAAGACACAGACCCCTGTTGGAGCAAGGCAGGGAATGGTGTGGACCATACGTACAGGGAGTTCAGAGAAGGCAGGTTAATAAGGAATAGGGTGTTGGGAGAGGCTTTCTGTAGAGGGACCTCCAGTTGGTCTATACTGCCTAATCAGCTACCAGCCAACTGACCCAGCCAGAGGTTTCTTGGAACCTAGTCTGGTCTAGACCTGTACCAGGAATCTGGAGGCCCCAGCACCAGGCAGCAGCCCCATGCTGGAGAGTAATCCCACCAATAGAAAATCTCTTTGTTGTCCAGCACAGAATTCGCCTCCGTCCTCGGTATCTGAAAGATGTGTCAGAAGTGGACACCAGAACCACAATCCAAGGGGAGGAGATCAGTGCCCCCATTTGCATCTCACCCACAGGTTTCCACTGCATCGCCTGGCCTGATGGAGAAATGAGCACGGCCAGAGGTATGAACAAACCCCATCTTGAGGGTCCCTTCCCAGGGACCCTGAAGTAAGCAGGAGGTATTTAGAGCAGGGGCAGGCAGCTCCAAGATTTCTCTATAGAAAGGGTTTAGGGAAAGCAATCTGGTTAGACTTAAGGAGGGTGGGAAAAGGAATGCTTAAAGCTATGTTTGCTAACATTTCACCTAAGATTGAAAAAATACCCATTTTCCATAATAAAGAATGGTTAGAGTGGGAAAGGGGCTACAGATTAATAGGAGGTTTGAAAATCCCACCAAGCCATCCCACAGAAGAGGGACACTGGCTCCTCTGACACACTATCTGTGGGGAAAGGGATGCTCAATGTGGCATCAAGGGTAGGGCTCTCTTTGACCACTCCTGGGCCAGGGCTGGAGCCAAATGGTGAATCTCTGAAGTTCTGATGAGGAGAGGGTCATGACATTAGGTCCTTAACACAAGGCCCTGGCAGGTGCTCTTGTCCAAATATTCCATTTCCTTTCACCTCAATTGACTTTGTTATCTTATTTGACAAAAAGTTTCTTGTTGGGGTATGTCTCCTTCCTAGTAGCCCCTCATTCTCTTCCCTCATTCCCCACCCACCACTAAAAAATAATGAGAAGAGAAGGGAAGAGAAGGGAAGGGAAGGGAAGGGAAGGGAAGGGGAGGGAGGGGAGGGGAGGGAAGAGAGAGGAAGAAAGGGGCTAAAAATATTCCTGTGGCTCCTCTGTAATCTTCACCCTGGGCCAAATCTATTTTTTTGCAAGTTTCCCAGGGGTTCCCTGGGCTCTTTTCCTTTGACTCTATGATACAAGAAGCAATGAATCCAAGAATTCTAGAGCTGAAAGTGACATCTGTCGGGTTAGGAACAAAATCTGGCTAGGTTGAAATATGAATATGAATATATGAATATGACTACTTTATTAAATCTTCATGGTTGAATGTGTTGTATTGTTTTGAGAGTGGGGAAGACACCCCAAAAGAATTGGGTATCTCCTGTTGACATTAGGAATTGAAAATATTAATTCTTGATTAGGCCAAATTCTCTGCCCATGGGTTGTAGAATGGTAGTGACATTAACCTGTTGAAGAATGCTACAGAAAATGATTAAAGTAAGAAATGAGAAACATGCCATGCAGCAGCAGTTGTCTACGTCATGGTCACCATCATTGTCATCAACCTTATTATCACTAGCATTTATACAATACATAAGTTTGTAATTTAAAAAATGCTTCCATATCTAGTATCTTATTTAATCTCCCAACAACCCTATAAAAGAGATATTATTATTTCCTCCATTTTACAGATAAAGAAAATGAGACTCAGTCTGGCCCGGTGGCGCAGCAGTCAAGTGTGTGCACTCCGCTGTAGCAGCCTGGGGTTTGGATCCTAGGTGTGCACTGATGCACTGCTTGTCAGGCCATGCTGTGGCAGTGTCCCATATAAAGTGGAAGAAGATGGGCACAGATGTTAGCCCAGGCCCACTCTTCCTCAGCAAAAAGAGGAGGATTGGCGACAGATGTTAGCTCAAGGCTGATCTTCCTCACAAAAAAAAAAAAAAAAACAGAAAAGAAAATGAGACTCAACACCACACAGCTAAAAAGTGGTAGAACTAGTGTTCTTCTAACTTCAGATATCATAATTTTTCCACTACAAGCTCAGTCTTCTCCATTGGAATTACATTTTCTCATCCTTTGCCGTCTTTAATTCCCTTCTGCTTCATTAATGAGTTCACCAGAAGCCCATTTCCTATCTAAATGCTGCAGCATCCCCAAAATGGTTCAGGGGACTAAACACATCTCTAGTTGGAAATATTTTAGTATGAACTACAGTGTTTGTAAGACAGGTTGTACAAAGGGGGACCCAGACAGCTTTAGACCTCCCAGTGTGATCAAACGCCTCCTATCCCAGCCCCACAGGGAAGTGGAATGAAGTTAAGCTCTATCTTCACTCACATGGCAAGCTGGCCAGAGACAGCACAGACTCCTAGGGCTTCTCATCCCAGTCCAGAATGCCTCTATCCTCCAACCTGAGTTGTGTCATTTGCTTTGCAGCTGCCCAAGCAGCTGGTATCTGCTATGTCACCAGCACGTATGCCAGCTGTACCCTTGAAGACATTGTTTCTACTGCCCCCGGAGGCCTCCGGTGGTTCCAACTCTATGTGCAGCGGGACCGACAGCTAAACAGACAGCTGATCCAGAGGGTAGAATCCCTGGGTTTCAAAGCTCTGGTAATCACTGTGGATGTACCCATAAGTGGCAACAGGTGGCATGACGTTCGAAACCAATTGGACTTGAAGACAAACTTACTGCTGAAAGATCTTCGATCACCTAAAGAGGTAGGAGAGATACTAGATCGAGTGGGCAGGCATTAGAGGAGGCAAATTTCCATCCCTCTTTCCTCCCTTCTTTCTTTCCACAAGAAATCATTGAGGGTCTGTTCTGTGCCAGACACTGGGAATGCAGCAGTTCAAAAAGCAGATCTGGTTCCTGCTGCCCAGAACTTCCCGACAAGCAGAATATAAGACAAAATATTCTTCCCCCTGGAGTTGCCCAACCTTTTACCAGAAGTGTTCTGGCCCGGACTGGATGCTGAGAAATAGGAAAGCTAGGGAAAGGATTTTTTCATGAAATAGGAAAGTAAACTAAACAAGTTCTTCCAACATTTTCTGCTTTATGGCACACTTAGAAAATAATAATTTTAGATGGCACACTAAGATAAACTGTGAAGATAAACATCTGAAGAGGATGCTCACACCCAGGGTGACTGGCTCATGGAGTGTAGCCAGCCCAGGCCCCACCCTGCTGCCTTGAGAACTGAGGGCTCAATATCTCTGCACACCTAGAATTCATCCATGAAGCACCAGGGTGCTACAGCACGCTTGTTTGGAATCGCTGAACTAGGTGACTGCAAAGGCCACTTCCCCCATTAAAATCCTACAGTCAGATGGGATGGAGTGCCCCAGAAAGAAAAAGCCATGGTAAAGTTGGAATCCCTTGGCTACAGTGGAGATAGTGATACCAGACTTTTCAGCCAATGGGCAGCTGAGATACCTAGCCAAGTGACTCAACAGTTCTACTCACTAACACAAATTGGCCTTGAGATTTTCTATAATCCTTATCTCAGATTCCAGAGACACATTACAATTTATGGATATTTGACTCACATGGTAAGCCAAGGATAAATATTGAGTAATATCTGATTTAGGATTATTGAAGTATTGCTTAGTTCTTGTTACCCTGTGCATTTCTCAACCACAACACATTACATCGGCCTATGAATGCTTTTGCTTACCTTATCTCACTTACTAAACTGTGAGTTCTTTCAAAGTAGGGATTGTGTCTTATTTGTCTTTTTGTCCCCAGATCCTGACATAATTATTGAGCAGGGACACAATTAATGCTTAATGAATAAGCAATTGAAGTAGAAATTCTTTTTACACAAATTTTGTTAGAAAAATGAGCTAGAAGTGTTGGATTTTGTTGTTCCTCTTTTCAAGTCTATAAATGGTGACTCTCCAAATGTGTCTCGGCCTTGGAATAGATCAAGCGGTCTTGAAGGAGTTCAGGACTAAGGTTCTCTTTTATTCCCCACAGAGAAATTCAATGCCTTCTCTCCAGATGTCCCGCATTGACCCATCCATCTGCTGGGATGATCTCTCCTGGTTGCAGAGCATAACTCAATTGCCCATCATCCTGAAAGGGATCTTGACAAAAGAGGATGCAGAGTTAGCTGTGAAGCACAATGTCCAAGGCATCATTGTTTCCAATCATGGTGGGAGGCAGCTTGATGAGGTTCCCGCTTCTGTAAGTAGGATGACTTCAGAGGGGGTGTGTTTGTGAGTGGTGTGTGTATTTGTCCACAGCAAGGTACTCTGTGCAATTTGGTGCACACTCCCCTCTCCCTTACCACATATGTTGGTACACACCTGTGAATTTTAAGAACTTTTAATCGTTAATGATAGCCTAGTGTGTGCCAGGCTATTTTTACAAACTTTACATACATCATCTCTAAATCTCACAATGGTCCTGCAAGATGAGTATTACTATTCCTATTTTACAGATAAGGATACTGGAGTTTAAAGATATTAAACTCTTGTTCACACTTTGACAAGTTAGTAAGTGGTTAAGGTGGAATTTGATAGGAGAGATGTTCTAAAGGTGCTGAGGTCACCTGCCTTCTGGAAGAAAGTGTACCCCTTGAAGTTTGCCTGTTTGCATAGATTGTAACTTCACATTTTCTCATGTGATACATCCCAGGAAGGAACCGTGCCTCACTCGAGCTAACAAATAACCGTCTTTCACAATAAAACTTAAAAATACCTTAGGAATCCTTCGCTAAAAATCTGAGACAGTCTGTAATGTTTCCCCTAACTTATGAATTTATGTCCATTATGGATGGAGTTTGGGGAAAGAAAATGAAGAGGAGGGAGGCAGAGAAAGAATCTTTAAATGGGAATTAATTGTTGATTTATTTTCATGGGGATATATAGCTTATATTTTTTCAAGAGATTCTTCTATTGCTGCTTGACTCATTGCAAGGAAGGGAAGTGGGTTTTTCTTCTCTTAAGTTTTTTTGGCCTTTTTATTATATAAGTAAAACACGTTCACTACAGATAAATTAAAAAATATACATAGGAAAGGAATAAGATAAAAATCACCCCTAATTTCATCACTGTCATTAACGACAATATTTTGGTAATTGTTTTTATCAACTCCTTAATGCAAATATAACATTTTAGGTTTAAAAAACTATACACAATATTTTGTAATTTTCTTCTTTTCACTCATTAATATATTAATAGCATCATTTCATCTCAATGTATATGCTTCTCTTATTTTTTATGGTGTGTAGTATGAATGGACAATTTTTATAACCAACTTTCTATTGTTGAACATCTGGATTGCTTCCAAGCTTTTGCTACTTTAAACAATGCATCAGTGACCATCCTTAAATCTTCAGCACATTTTCAAGGACTTCTTTAAGACAAACTCCAGCAAATAGAAAAGGTACATCAGTTGGTTTGTACCTTCCAAGGCTTGTGAGGCTTGGAGGTTTAAGGTGCCAATTACTCGCCTCCTCCTCCCCACCAGGCTCTAACTGAGAGAGAACAGGCACAGAATGACAAGCCCACATGGAAAGCAATGGGCACACTTTACTGTGGCTCTCAGTAAGAGCTGAATTGAAGGAAACGATCAGGCCTACTGCTTCCCACACCAACTCTTGACCTATGACCCCAGGAGAAAGCAGGTCTGTAGAACACACGCCAAGCTCTCTCACCCAACTCCTGCCAGGATGCCGATAATGCCACCTCTCATACACCCAGTAACTGGCAGAACAGATAGTACAAAAGAACGTAGCAGGCCCTGGGCAGTCCCAATTGTGCCTACTAGATGGGAGCAGAAAGCAAAGAAGAACCCATCACGAATAAGCAGCAAAAAGGGTAGAATATTGAAATAACTCTAATAAAACATTATAATATAGGCTCTGTCTCATGAATCAGTTTAGCTAGTCTTGCTCCCTTGGGGAAGACTGAGTCATAAGTGGAGAAAGAGGCCGACTAATTCTCCCACTGCAGTTCCTCAACAGAGAATGAGTGTTGGCGAAGGCAGGAGCCAGAAAGAAGAATTTCTCCTACCCTGTCATGCTGATCAACATGTTGTTCTCCCAAACCATTTAGAGTAACAACCAAACCCAAGGTCACCCAGGAACAGTGCCAAAATTAGTGTGAAGCTAGTGAGGTACATGCCTCTGGCTCAAAATTTAAGGTGCCAGAAAAACTTGGTAAGATAAATAATAGTTTAATGCATTATTTTAAAAATGAAAATAATGCAAAAAATCCAAGCTGAACAAAATATCAACATTTTAAATATCAATAAGACAAGATAAATTATAATAGAGACAAAATCTGTCCCTGCACTTGCATAACCCTGCCTCACTCATCTCACCGTAATCCTGGCTCTGGATTCAATAAAACTTTATTTATAAAAACTAGCACCCAGCTCACAGATCAAAGGTTGCCATTTGATTTTTTAAACATTGCATTCAAATACTATTTATCTGAATTTTTTGGCACCCCGTAAATTTTGTACCTAAGTGCCTCCTCACTCCTCTAACCCTAGTCCCCTCCCCATGAAGGCTATGACTCTTTGAGTGAAGTCCCTATCTCTATAAGGTTCCATATCTGACATTCCTTGTGTTTCCTCCTGGGACTAGGGAAAAGGAATAAGCTAGCTATTGTCCCCAGAAAGCTCTGATGAATGTCCTGTTGTGACCTATCACTGGACCTTAGGCTGAAATTCACTCCCTAATCTGTATCTCAAATTCCATCAGCTCCATTATCCAATAAGGCTCACTAGAAGAATTTGCACAAACACATTTCTTTCTTTTTCACAACATCATAGAAATATTCCAAATAATTCCATGCTGGGGCTATAAAAATATCCCTTATTTGAACATGCATTCCCTCCACTTATTACATGTAAGCCCAAAACATATTTAATTCTCCTCTCCATGTAAATTAAAGTACAAAGTTCTTTCCTCGCTTATTTCATGTTCCGCTGAGTCTCAACCAAGGGATCTCATTCAGGTAGAATTCTGACTGATTCCTTCAGCAGCAGAAGTCCCCCTAGGGCCCAGTTTCTATTCCTCCTCTGGTTGTCTGTGCCCTCAAAGGGGCGCAGAACAGGAGCCCTGAGGCAATTCTAGAACTCTTTCCCCAAGTCTTTTCCCAGACTGTGCTGTCACCCTTCCTTACAGACTTGGACGTGACCAGGAGCACGAAGCTTGGGGCACCTTGGGTCAACAGCGCCTGTTGGCCACAGAGCCTAGAATTGAAGAGGCAAGGTGAGAGATAGGGTCCAGTGGAAAAACCAGGCCAACGTGATAACCTGCTTTTCTTTTGTCTTTCAAAGGCTTCAAATCTACTTTTACAGTGTCGCCACTGCATTCCCATCCCATGTCTCAGATAACCCATAAGGGAGTCAGGAACAAGTTGCTCAAACGTGTGTAAGGAACAATGTGCAGCCCAGTTACACAAGAGAGGCTGCGGTACAGACACTCGGGCCATGGCTCATCACTCTTGTTTTGCCAAAAAGACTTAGCAATGGAGAACACTTCTAGCTGTGCCACCCTAGAAACAGAGAAGGTGGAAGAAAAGCAAAATCAAAATGTTCTTTAAAAAGAAGAACATTAAAATGAACACCGTAAATGGAAAATGTCTGCTTTAGGGTATGAAGAGGAACCAAGAATATCTTCCAAGCCATAGACATCCAAACAAGTGAGTCAGAGAGAAGCTGCCCTCTGTCAGAGCAGAAAATGGCGGGAGGGAGAGCCCACAGAAAGTTCCTGGGCCTCAGGAACATAGCTACACTGCTTTGATAGGCGCCAGCAGCCTCAAGAGCAGGAAGAGAAGAAGCTGTTAGACATCACCCTGCTTGGACTTCCTGGTCCCAGCCCACATTGAGGGGGCACCTCTGTCCCATGATGCCCTGAGAGTCAAAACGGAAATCCCTTGAGCAACGCATGTCTCTCCTTTTCAGATTGATGCCTTGACAGAAGTGGTGGCTGCTGTGAAAGGAAAAATTGAAGTGTACATGGATGGTGGGATCCGAACTGGCAATGACGTGCTGAAGGCTCTGGCCCTCGGGGCTAAGTGCATTTTTCTGGGGAGACCAATCCTGTGGGGTCTCGCCTGCAAGGTGAGAGTGTTAAGATGAAAACCAACTGGAAGATACTGCGCTTCTCATTCTTTTCCATGCTTTTCTGTAGTTTAGCCCCCAAGCCCAGCCATTTTTCAAGGTGCCCCAGATTCCTAAAGAACACTTACACCTGGCCCGCAACTGCATGCTTCCTCTGCAGTATGTTGCAAATATTCAAGAGGTCTCACCCCTATATTTTCCCTCTTTGCTTACCTTTATTCCCAGCATAGTTCTAATCTCACAGATACCCCCCATCACCCCACCACAGCTCTGAGCACACCTAGAAGTTATACTCAGCATATGGTCAAAATGTTCCTTCATGCCTCTTTTTGTCTCTCTCTCTCTTTCTCTCTTTGTCTTGGGAACAGGGTGAACGTGGTGTTGAGGAAGTTTTGAACATTTTAAAAAATGAGTTCCACACTTCCATGACCCTTACAGGTGAGTTTTTACAATTCTTTTCCTGATTTGGAGCTGAAAGTGGGAGATCTGAAGAACAGGAGCGGCTGCCCCTCCTTCTACCTTACCTTCCCCGGCCCATTTGCTGCCCAGAAGAGAGAGCAGGGAAGAAATATCCCAGACAAAAATTAAGCACAAACTTGAAATGCGGTAATATGTGCTACAAAAGCAAATGCCACTTCAGATTATGGGAGAGAGTGTTCCATTACTCTGGCCTGTTCGGATCACATCAGGCTTGTTGGATGTGATTCTGAGTGTCATCTTTTAAGTAATATTCATGGACTGTGAAAAGTCGAGATATTATGTCAAAGAGGAGCATAGAGGGGCTGGGGAGATAGATACAAACAGGAGGAGAGAAGAGGGAGAAGGAAAGCTTTGTCCTGTGTAACCACAGAAGGCAAGACAAACGTGAATGTCTCGAAGTTATGTGCAGGTGGATTTCAGTCAAAAATGAAATTATTGTAAAGTAGTGCTCATAAAGACTTATACGTTTTAGCCAAGCCTGGAATCCCAACGATCCTGTAAAACAGTGGTTCTCAACTAACGAATGTAAATTCCCTCTTGAGGGGCATTTGGTTTGGGTTTTTAGTTTATTTTTTTCTAATTGGCACAGTGACTGCACAGGAGTACTGCAGGTATTTAGTGCACAGGGATGCTGACTGTCTTAAAATGCTTGGAGGGGTCTCATAGAAAAAAAATGTGCTACCCAATGCCAATAGCCAACAGCTCTGTCTTTGACTGTCTTTGTCTGCTGAGGATGGTCATTGATTGCAATGTGAGAGGACAGACAAGATGGACTCCAGTAAGACCTCCATTCACTCCTCAATTCTAAACTTTGGTAATAACAGAGACCTTCTCCAGAAGTAAGGGAATAATGAATCAAGAGCTCTGACATGGACTCAATATCACTTTCATGCCATTAACTTATTTCCACAGATGCTACCAAGCATTTGCCATGTGCCAGGTTCAAGTCTGGTTTTAGTCTGATATTTAGACAAGTATCTTGTATTCCGTGTCCAAGTTTCATAGTGTCCATTGAAGTTGCAGACTCAACCTTTTGGGCTTGAGTAATAGCAGTTAGAAAACTTAGAACAGGGACCGGCCCCACGGCTTAGCGGTTAAATGCACGTGCTCCGCTACTGGCGGCCGGGTTCGGATCCCGGGCGTGCACCGACGCACCGCTTCTCCGGCCATGCTGAGGCTGCGTCCCACATACAGCAACTAGAAGGAGGTGCAACTATGACATACAACTATCTGCTGGGGCTTGGGGGAAGGAAAGGAGGAGGATTGGCAATGGATGTTAGCTCAGGGCTGATCTTCCTCACAAAATAAATGAATGAATGAATGAATGAATGAATGAATAAATAAATAAATAAATAAATAAATAAAGGAATGGGAAACTATTAAAAAAGAAGAAGAAGAAAAGAAAACTTAGATCAGCTTTAACACCAGCACCAGCCTAATTTCCACCGAGCAGATGAATAGGAAAAAAGGGAAATGGATCAAGTCATCTAGGACCAGGACCATCAGCTTTTGACCACAGCCATACTACTCAAAGCCTATGAAAATAAGTCAGCAAATGCTCCAATGTCACCGAGCCCCTCCCCCGAGGGAGGGGCAGAGTGGGAACAGATATCATATTGGTGTCTTTTGCCCCTGGGAGGGAGGAAGGGCAAGAGGGATGGGAGGACCTATGGGCTTCTGCAGATTCCAGGAAGATGAGATGACTTCTGCTCCCCCAAATATTTCTAATGGTGAAATGATGTCTGAACTTCTTTTAACAGAAACCTGTTGGGGGAATTCACAATAACAAAGCTTTTTTATTCCACCAAAAGTTTACACTACACAACCACTGGGGTGTACATGGTGGCTGGGAAATCTTTTTCTGAAATAGAGAGTGTGGAGCACCCTTTTTGAAAAGGGGCAGGGAAAACAGAAAGAAAAAAGAGGATTATGAGCAGTTTTATGCCCAACTTTTTATACTCCTCTTCTTCTAATTGTTCTACAATGAGAATGTCCTGTTTTAAATGTATAGAAAAATTAGTAATCAAACGTGGGACAGAGAAAAGAGTTCGGGGAGGAAGAGAAAGAACAGGAAAGCCAGGCGGAAGGGCACCCCTCGGCATCCTCTGTGTGAGAATCTCTCCTCCAGGGAAGACTTGCAGGCTAGTCCCGGGGGAGAGGGGATCTCAGGTGGGGGCCTGTGCTTTTGGTGAAACTCACTAAAATTCAGAATCATAGCATGAAACCCCAGAGATTCTGTTACCCCTTAGCCCTTCCCTGCACAATGCATGTAAAACGCCTGACACACGATCAGCACCAGGTAGGTGATCAGTTGACACGACTTCTCTCTCCTAATTCCCCTGGAAATGTGTGATATTTTTCCCTTATGACCCTGTGGCATCACAGCCACGGAAGAGAACCCTATTTGCCCTATTGCTGAAAACAAAATAAGGTTAAAAGTAATGTTTTTCTAACTACAAGGCCAATTGCTGAAATTGTAGAAAGGCTAAAATCATGATTTGTTTTGAAAAGCAAAAATGTCCATATATAAATCATATCAAGACAAGCCTACACAGACCTCACTGAGGTCTCATCCCTCATAAGGGGAGAAGGCTGAATTAGAAAAGTGTATGAATCTTCTTGAAGTTTATTGTTTGGAATTGCCCACTTCACTTTAAATTAACCAAAGCATTTTAGTGTAAATATCCTCCTAATTTACAGTAATGAAAAAGCAAGAATAAATTGTACTTATGCATTCTTTCTCAAACTTTTACTGAACCTCTACCGGGTGCGAGGCATTGTCCTTGGTACAGCGCAGGACCCAGAAACCAGTCCGATGAGAGAGAACACTAAGTAGAGCCAGGACACAAATATCGCAGGGCTTCCATGTGAATGGAGGCTTCAAACTGTCTCAAAATGACATCGTAACAGTTTGATGCAACTATCAAGATATTTTTCATAGTTTAAATATTACTTTTACTACAATATATAACTAGAGATTACATTTTGGCATCTCTGTGCTTCTTGAGTAGGTCAGCCTGCTATGAAGCCCCACTATTCTCTTCCCCGAAACTCAAAGCTCTCAAGGTCATTGTCAATTCTGAGGAGAGCCACTTCTGGCTCCAAAGTCCTGCTTCTGCTGAATTAGTTCAATTTGCGGGCTGTTTATGTATCCCATGCCTGCTGTTTCTGTCCACTACAGTCAACTCAGGGGAGAAACTCAACTCTTTCCTCTGTTTGCGTCTTTAAGAAAAGACTCTCTCATTAGTTATATTTTTGTGAGTATTACATTTCACTAAAGTTATGTTTTAGGAGGTGAAGGTGCATGCATCATGGATGTGGGAAGAACTTCACGTGAAACATTACACATCCTGTTACTAAATTCTTTCAGCCTTCTCATCCCCAGGGATTTTTCACTGTCTTCTTGAGCCCACAATTCTCCACCCCAAACCGTCATGCTAGTTTCTGTTTCTCCCTTCTCTCTCTACTTCTTATCTGAAGTTAGTCTCTTCAATCCCTGTGTCTAATCTCAGCTACAGTCTTAATATTGCATTTTAATTAACATCCTCCACTAAAGAAGGGTGTTTCACTTTACAGAACTTTCCCCCAGAAGACAGTTGCTGTATGAAATACTCACTCCGTCTCTTAGGCTGTCCCTGAGTCATATTCCTCCCTGACAGATACTTCCTATATCCCTGAGCCTTATCAGGACTGAGACAAAGGTCAAGTATATCTATTGCATTACATGAATTGATTTAAAAAATGCCAAAATAGTGTTTTTGTATTTTTACCATGCCATTTTGACATGGCTGTGTTAAAAGAGGACACAGGCACAGGTGCACAAAAAAATTCCCAATGCAATCAGAATTATGTTATTCATTCTGTATACATAACCTTTCATCAGGGTGAGCATGCAGATCAAGTCAGGCTTGTTCTCATTGCATCATCCCATTCCCATGATGGAGTTGGTTACTGGTGTTTTAGAGAAATGAGTTTTTTCACTGCATTGTTCTTTTAGGCTGCCGGTCAGTTGCCGAGATCAACCGGGACCTGATCCAGATCTCCAGGTTGTAGAGAAAGAGAGCTAATGACTAGACTGCTGAAGTTGCCCACAGGAGGAAGGCAGACTCATAGCATCGTATGTGGTGCCATCGTGCCTAGGCCCCATCCTATTCAGCGGCTCATCTCCTGCACCTCAACCATTCCACACCCTGTGCTTCAGGCCCCCCAAACCCCTTATCTTCCTCAAACATGTCATGCTCTTCTTTGCCTCACTGCCTTTTATATGCTGATCTCTTCCCTGAAATCCTCTGAATGAAAAGATCTTAAAAGGGCAGATCAATAATGACTGAAATAGTGGATTAAATTTTTTGCATATCCTATATATCTCTATGAAAAAGTTATGGAAATTTGCACTCTGGACAGAAGAGCTATATGTATAAAATATTCCCCAACAAAAATCATACTCCAATCTATAGGTAATAGGGAAATAATATAGTTAGAAACATAGGCTTTGGAGCCATACAGACATGAGTTTAACAGTCTGGACTGCTACTGACAAGCTGTGTGACTTGGGAAAGTTTTTCAATCTCTCTATGCTTCCGTGTCCTCATCTATAAAATGAGGATTATACTACCTAGTCTACTAGGTTGGGAGAAAGATTAAGTGAGATAATGTGTGTAAAGTTCTGAGCACAATGCTTAGCACCTAATAGAAGTTTAAGACACAGTAGCTTTTATTATTATTGTTTGGCAAATTCCTATTCATCTTTCAAGACCTTGTTCAAATGTCAGCTATTCTTATCCTGGCTACTTGCTACGTGCTTCCTATTATACTTTGCACATTCCACTATTAAAACTCTTATTATAATGTTTTATATTTATTTATTTATTTGCATGTCCCTTTCCACAAATAGACTGTACATGGATCTAAGCATGAAACTGTATACTTGGTACTGGGCTTGGCATATAGCAGCATCTCAATGAATATTTGTGGGATGCATGGGTGGATGGATGGATGGATGGGTGCATGGATGGATGGACTGAAGATAAATGAATGAAAGGCGAGATGGAAAATGAATAAATACTCTACCAGAATAAAAACTCCCTAGACCAGTAGTCAGCTAAAATAGACTTCTAGAGCAGAGGAACCAAGCTGAATAAGATCTGACACTTGAAGACATAAAGAACGTTAGGGATGGAAATCAATGTCCTAAATAAACAACCTCAGAACTGGTTTCCCCATATTCTCTCTTGTTCCTTCTCAACTTCTGTTCTCTATACAACAACCAGAGAGATTTTCTTTTAAGCAAATCCTATGTCTCACCTGTTTAAAGCCTTTCTATGGCTTCCCATTTCATTTAGTATAAATTCTATACTGATCACCAGCTCTCCAGGGCACTGCATGATCCGGTTCTTGCTGGTCCTTCCAACTCACTTCTTCATCATTCTCCCCTTTGCTCACTATGCCCTGCCACATTGCCTCCTTTCTATCCCTTAAACAAGCAAAACTCTTTCTTGCCTCTGGACTTTCACACTTACGGTTCCCTCTACATAAAATGTCCTTCCTCATCCTCTTCCCTTGGTTGGCTCCTTCTTGACATTTAGATCTCAGCTTAAATGTCACCTCCCCAATGGGGTGAGATTTCCCTGACCATCCTATCTAGAATGGGCCCTACTTTACTTATCACGTCACCCTGGTTTTCCCCTTCCTAGCACTTACTACATTCTGCAGTTAACTTATCTTTTGTTTATTTGTTTATTGTTCATCAGCACCAGCACAGGGACCTTAATCAGTCTTGCTCACCACTACATTCCCAGATCCTAGCACCATGCCCAACACCATAGAAGGCTTTGAGTAACCATTTGTTAAACGAATTCATCCAAAAAGGCAAAGCTAGATCAAACTGCATTGTCACATCTGGAGAATTATAGCAGTCCCAGAGGGAAAACAGTGAGTTAGGAAGAACAAAGCTGAATGGGTCACTACCATTCACAAAGCTAACAGACATGAAAAGTCTCCTATCATTCCTGGGCTGGACAATTTTCTGCATGAACCCATGCCACAATACAGTTCCACTTTTTCCCAGCTTATCCCACATAACCAAGGGCCCAGTCAAGGGAACATTAGATAGCATGGGAAACACTGATAGAGAAAGCAGTCCTGTAGCAGTCTCCCTGGTCGTAACTCTTAATGCTATAGCCACTTGCCTAACCCAAATGTATGGGGCATATGCCAACTACACATTTAGAAAGAGAAAATAAAGTATGGTGGTATTAGACAGTCCTGCTTGCCTATACGGAGCTGTATTCTACCCAGAATTCAGGGAAAGTGAACACTCAGACTCCCAAATCATCAGTCCTTTTGATTCTTCTCTGAATAAAAGATCTTAAAGAGCAGACCAGCAATGACTGAAACAGCTAGTGGATTATATTCTCTGCACATCTTTTATATCTCTATAAAATAATTATGGAAATTTGCACGCTAGACAAAAGTGCTATCCATACAAAATATTTACCAACAAAAATCATACTCCCCATCTATCAAACAGGGTAGGACAGAACAACTAGATAAAATAAGGTAAGTAAAGCTAGTGTAGTTAGAATACTTAGAAGAGTAGTGGACACTTTATAGAATCATGATCTTTGAAAAGAGGCTCAGGAGGCTGAGTTAGATGTCATTGTTAATGGGTTGATAAAAGGAGAAGGGTAATTGACCATGATCCTTGTGTGAGATCCTAACTTTTTATTCAGTTGAAAGTTTAAATTGGCTCCTGCATTGGTGAGCTGATGGTTAGCTTGAGGCCAAGGAGGGGTCTTAAGTTGGCAGCAAGCATGAGGTGCTTGTGCTGAAAGTTGAGGGACATACTAAGGAAGTGCCATGTTTAGGAGCAACTGCTTGGCTGATCCAGCAGTCACATTGCATTGTGGGGCAGGAGGCCTGAATGACCATGGATCTTGAAGATGACCCTCAACACATTTATCAGAGTGGAAACACGTGTCTTGGAAAAGATGGAAGATTTACAGGATCAAAAAGGGATATGGGGCAGGAGTGATCCTGGTGTAGCCCAGCTTATGCACTGCTGCAAGGGATCTTGGGAAAATTTTTACTTCTGTTCACGGAGCCAAGGCCAAAGACATAAGAGAACAGAGGAGCAAATGAAAGCCTAAAATATTTATGTTCATGACCTAGGATGCTACAGTATCTTACGGCCCATTAAATAATGTCTATTCTGTGTAGTGCACTGATCTCCAGGAGAAGTAGCAAAAAGAGAGTTTTGAGACAAGAGATTCAGGGACTCTGGAGACAAATTAAAATAGACTATACCAGTCCTTCACCAATAAAGGAGAAAGGAGAGATCTTTCTTTCGGTCATACTGGATTGTTTTACTAGATAGATGTAGCCTTTCTCAATGAAGTACTAAAGAACTAAACCAATTGCAGAGATTAAAGTCTGAGAAATAGTCTGTTACCCATGGGTACCCAAGAACAGGGAATCTGACAGGGGGCAGGCTTTGGACAGACTCATGAGAGAACCGTACAGTCCAGCCGCTCCATGTAGCATGTCACTGCACCTACACAGAGTTTGTTCTTCTCTGGCCCATTCCCCAGCCTTCATACCCCTTTCACTCATTAGGAATCTGCATCACATATTGTGGGGCTTGATGCACTTTCTAGAGCCTCACTGTCTAGAATTTCACTTCTAGATCATAGAACCGTGTTTCAGACACCACTTGTCGAAGCCTCTTTCAATCTGTGTTAAGTCCATAACTTTGGTCTTATTATTCTCCTCACAACAGAAATAATATGATATCTCAGTGCCAAATTGTCCTTTGTGGTGCAAAAGAATAAATAAGCAGCCTTGAAAATGAGGTTTGAAACCAGAGAAATCATTGGCAGAATAATATCCATCCCTGTAATCACCCCTACCTCAATCTAGTAAATAAGATTTTTTTTTCATGCTCTGATTATCTTGCTGGCTGGTGAACATGCTGTAAAATTGCCCAAGTTTCCCCGTAATAGCTGTATTTATTATAGGGGCTTCTAAATAGGCATGATAGCCAGGTTGTCTCTTCAGCCCTGAAATCCCCAGCTGGGGACTTGATTGAGTCCTTCCAGACTGGTTTGGGGCAAGAGTGAAACAAATCACAATAGCATAGGGTATTAAGGCAATTTGGTATGCAGACAATGGAGTTAGCTTACTTTACAAGAGAATACAGTATAAGCTCTTCCTGTATACATCTACCTTGGTGATAACTACTCTTTTTCGATCCTGGACACATATATATGTTATTTCTTTAAGTTGCTTTTCCTTCTGGATTCAGAGGGCTAGATCCAAGATTGCGAGGGAAATGAGTAGAGATATTATAAAGATAGTACCAAAAGGGTATTCTCATTGCCTCAGAAGTGTGAACAGAGGAACGTCTACAGTCACCTGAAGAGATGCATATTAAGCCTCAGATGGGACTTCTTGACCCCTAAAAATGTCCTACATTAGAATGCATGGGAAAAGAAGGTAAAGAAATCTTCTCCACTGGAAAGTTTTCAACAATTGAACAAAATACTGGTTATCTAAAAGATAACATTGCGTTCTGATAAAGAGGACCAGACTGGAAATAACTCCAGGGTCAGGCTACCCGGACTCAGATTCTGGCTCCACTGTCCTCAAGATATATCGAAAGACTCAAAACATTTTTGTTTTCATCTATTAAATAATTGAACCAACTTCTTGGATTCTCATTGTGAAAATTAAATGAGATGGAGGATTCCCAATCTAAGATATAAGGAGCTTAGAAGGTGCCACTCCATCCTAACAGCAAGTAAAAAGCTGGACAAATTGAAAAATCAACACTTCCTCTAGATCCCTCAGAAAAGTAAGGTCACAGCGCAAACCACTGCCCTAAAAATTGGAGAGACAGGCAGATACAGAGAATCACAACTTATCTGAGCAGAAAACTAAAAGCAGAAACCTCCATGAAAGCCAGTACCAAGGTAGGAAAACTTGAACTGTAACTGATGAATTGCTGGTGGCTCAGTGTGGATAAGTCTGAGAGTTAAAAACTCCATGGGGGCAGAGTCATAGGAGGCCCCCTGTATTTTTGTTTTACCTCCACAAAAAAAAACAGTGTTTCCCCTAGTCCATGAGAAAAGCAATTGTACTAGTTAGGAGTGCTTTTGGATGCAAATCTTGCTAACAGTGGCTTAAATGGTAGGAGTATTTACTATTTCCTTACAAGAAATTCAGATATAGGGCAACCTAGAGTTGATTTGTCAGTCAACAACATCAAGACCCATTATCTTTTCATCCTTCTGCTGGACCTTACTCCTGTCCTAGCAGAAGTAGGGGAAAGTAACCATTTTGAAATTTGCTAGAGCATTCTGCTCTCAACAAGGCCTGCCCTCAAGAGAAATTATTTTACCAGACCCTAACCTACTAGGGTTTTATCTAACTGACCTAGGAGAAGGGAAATACTCAACTCCAGACGCTTCTAACCATCCTGT